AATCACATTATCTGGATCTCTAAATAGGAATAAAGAACACTGGAAATGGTAAATACATGGGTAAATATAAAATACTTTTACATAAATTTTAAAATGAGCAAAAAGATAATTGACTCTTTAAAGCAAAAAATAACAATAATGTATTGTGAAATTTATAACAAACCCAGAAGAAAAATGTTTGACAACACTGGTACAAAGGACCAGAGGGGGGGCAAATGGAAATACACTATTACTATGTTATTACATGTTACGTGAAGTCATATGACATTATTTTGAAGGTACACTGTGATAAGTTAAAGATGTATATTGTGTAAACTCTAGAACAATCAGTAAAAAAATAAAATGAAGAGGTATAGCTAAAAAAGTCAATAGTGGACATAAAATAGAATACTAAAAAATACTAAGTTAATCCAAAAGCAGGCAGAAAAAGAAAAAAAAAAAATAAAAAACAGACGACAGAAAAAGAAAAGAGCAAGATGGCAGATTTTAACTCAGCCATATTGATACATAAATTAAATGTAACACTCCAATTAAAAGGCAGAGCTTGTCAGACTGGATATAAAATCAAGACCCAACTAGGGGCTGGCCCCGTGGCCGAGTGGTTATGTTCGCGCGCTCCGCTGCAGGCGGCCCAGTGTTTCGTTGGTTCAGGTCCTGGGCCCAGACATGGCACTGCTCATCAAACCACGCTGAGGCGGCGTCCCACATGCCACAACTAGAAGGACCCACAACGAAGAATATACAACTATGTACTGGGGGCTTTGGGGAGAAAAAAGGAAAAAAAATAAAATCTTTAAAAAAAAAAAAGACCCAACTAAAAGGGATCCACCTAAAATACAAAGACACAGATAGGCTGAAGATAAAAAGATCGAAAAAGATATGCTATATAAACACTAATTAAAAGAAAGTAGAATGGCTATATTAATATCTGACAAAGGAGATTTCAAAACAAGGAATGTCATCAAGAATAAAAAGTGAGGGGCCGGCCCTGTGGCCGAGTGGTTGAGTTCTGCTTCTGCGGCCCAGGGTTTCGCCAGTTCGGATCCTGGGTGCGGACATGGCACTGCTCATCAGGCCACGCTGAGGTGGCGTCCCACATGCCACAACTAGAAGGACCCACAACTAAAACATACACAACTATGTACCAGAGGGCTTTGGGAGAAAAAAGGAAAAAAGTTAAATCTTTTTAAAAAAATTTAAAAAATGAAGAGTGAAATTTCATAATGATAAAGGGGTCGGTTCATTGAGAAGACAATTCTATATGTAAATGCATCTAATAAGAAAGCTTCAAAATTTTGAGTGAAGCAAAACTGACAGAACTGAAATAGAAAAGTCTATTATTACAGTTGTAGGTTTCAATGGTCCTCTCAATAACTGACAGAGAACACAGACAGAAAATCAGTAAAGACGGAAGATTTAAACATTACCAATCAACTCGACCTAAAGACATTTATAGAAAATTCTACTCAACAACAGCAGAATACATATGCTTTTAAAATGCACATAGAACATTCAACAGGACAGATCATATGCTGGACCAAAAAACAAATCTTAGTAAATTTAAAAGGACTGAAATCACAAGGAGTATATTTTCTGCCTATCAGGGAATTAAGAAATTAATAATAGGGGCTGGCCCAGCGGCATAATGGTTAAGTTTGCATACTCCAATTCAGCAGCCTGGGATCCATGGGTTCAGATCCTGTGCACAGACCTACACACTGCTCATCAAGCCATGCTGTGGTGGCATCCCACATACAAAACAGAGGAAGACTGACACAGATGTTAGCTCAGGGCCAATCTTCCTCACAAAAAAAGAAGAAAAGAAGAAATTAATAACAGAAATTTATCTGAAAAATCTCCAAATAATGGAAATGAAAAACATATTTCTAAATATCATAAAAGAAATGAGAAAATATTTTGAACTGAATGAAAACGAAAACAGCATAGCAAGATTTGTGGGATGTTGCTAACACAGGGGAAATATATGGCACTAAATTGATATATTAGAAAACAAGAATTAAAATCAATGATCTAAGTTTCCACCTTAAAAAATTAGAGAAAAAGAGCAAACTAAACCAAAGTAACATAAGGAAATAACAGGGGCCGGCCCCATGGCCAAGTGGTTAAGTTCGTGTGCTCCGTTTCGGCCGCCCAGAGTTTTGCCAGGTCGGATCCTGGGCTCAGACATGGCACCACTCATCAGGCCACATTGAGGCGGCATCCCACATGCCACAACTAGAAGGACCCACAACTAAAATATACAACTATATACTGGGGGGGTTTGGGGAGAAAAAAAGCAGCGAGAAAAAGAAAAGAAGGAAATAACATAATCATATAAATTAATGAAATAGAAAACAAAAAATTAATGTAACTAAAAGCTGATTCTTTGAAAAAATTAATAAAATTGATAAACCTCTAGCCAGACTGATCAAGAATAAAAGGGAAAACACACACATTATCCATATCATGAATGATAAATCCTATAGGCATTTAAAGGAAAAAAGAGAGTATTACGAACAATTTATGCCAATAAACTCAACAACCTATATGAATGAGTAATTTCCTTGAAGACAGCAATTACTAAAACTGGCCCAAGAACAAGTAGGAAACCTGTCTATCCCTAAATCTATTAAAGAAATTGAATTAATAATTAAAATGCTCCCCAGAGAAGTATAACAATATATGCAATTTACTTTGAAATGTGTAAAAAAGTCAGATGGGTTGATGGAGATTCATTCCATGGATCAGATATGTGATAAAGTATAGAAAAATGTAAATGACAGAATCTAGGTGGTGGTTATATTGGTATTCCCCATACAATTTTTTCAACTTTACTGTATGTTTTAAATTTTTCATAATAAAATGTTGGGTAAAAATTCTTCCGAGAGAAAACTCTAGGCCCAGATGCCTTCACTGATGAATTCTATTAATCATTAAGCAAGAACTAATACTAATCCTACATAAACACTTTTAAAAATGAAGATAAACTCTCCAACTCATTTTATAGAGCAGCATTACCCTAATAGCAAAACCAGACAAAGACATCACAAGAAAACTATGAACTACTATCCCTCATAAACGCTGACACAAAAGTAATCAAGAAAATATTAGCAACTCAAATTCTGTAATATATAAAATAAACACTGTATCATGATCAAGACAGGTTTATCCCAGGAATGTAAGGATGGATTAATACTAAAAAATCAGTCACTGGGGCCGGCCTGGTGGCTCAGCAGTTAAGTGCGCAGTTCCCCTTCAGCGGCCCGGGGTTCACTGGTTTGGATCCCGGGTGTAGACATGGCACCGCTTGGCAAGCCATGCTGTGGTAAGCGTCCCACATATAAAGTAGAGGAAGATGGGCACGGATGTTAGCTCAGGGCCAGCCTTCCTCAGCAAAAAGAGGACGATTGGCAGCAGATGTTAGCTCAGGACTCAACTTCCTCAAAAAAAAAATTATGTTTCTGTACAATAGCAAAAAACAACTGGAAATCAAAATTAGGACTACCATTATGTAACATAAAAAAATGAAATATTCAAGGATAGACCGAACAAAATAGTGTAAAACAATATGCTAAAAAACTACAAAACACTGATGAGAAAATTTACAAGATCTAAATAAATGGAGAGATATACTATGTTCATGGATTTGAAAACAATATTGTTAAAGTGTCAATTCTCCCCCAAGTTGATCTACAGTGTTAATGCAATTCCAATCAAAATTTTAGCAGGCTTCTTTTGTATAAACGGACAAGCAAATTTTACATTTTATATGGAAATGCAAGAGACCTAGAATCTGCAAAACAATTTTTAAAAAGAACAAAATTAGAGGATTTATATTATTTGATTTCAAGATTTACTACAGACCTACAATAATCAAGACATTGTGGGGCATACATTTAGTCATATAGACCAATGGAAAAGAACCGATACTTCATGGGGCCGGCGTGGTGGTGCAGCAGTTAAGTTCGCACATTCTGCTTTGGTGGCCCGGGGTTCGCCGGTTTGGATCCTGGGTACAGACATGGCATCGCTTGGCAAGCCATGCTGTGGCAGGCGTCCCACATATAAAGTAGAGGAAGATAGGCACGGATGTTAGCTCAGGGCCAGTCCTCCTTAGCAAAAAGAGGAGGATTGGCAGTAGATGTTAGCTCAGGGCTAATCTTCCTCAAAAAAAAAAAGAACGGATACTTCAGAAATAGACCCACATATATATGGTCAATTGATTTTTTACAAATGTGCCAAGGTACCTCACTGGGGGAAAAATAGTCTTTTCAACAATGACATTGGAACAAATAAATATTTGAGGGGGAGGGTTGCGGAATGAGCATTTGCTCTTACCATACAAAAAAAATTTACTTAAAACAGATCATTGGGGCTGGCCCCGTGGCCGAGTGGTTAAGTTCGCATGCTCCGCTGAAGGCGGCCCAGTGTTTCGTTGGTTCGAATCCTGGGCGCGGACATGGCACTGCTCATCAAACCAGGCTGAGGCAGCGTCCCACATGCCACAACTGGAAGGACCCACAATGAAGAATATATAACTATGTACTGGGGAGCTTTGGGGAGAAAAAGGAAAAGAAAGAAAATCTTTAAAAAAAAAAAAAATCATAGAACTAAATGTAAAAGTCAGAACTATAAAACGTATAGAAGAAAACAGGCGAAAAATTTCACAAGTAGCAGTAGGCAAAGATTTACTAAGCAAAACAAAAAGGCACAGATCATTAAAAAGATTAATAAATTCATCTTCATGAATATTTAATTAAAATTGGTCTTCATTAAAATGTCTGGACTTTGAAAAACACCATTAAGAAGATGCAAAGGCAAGCCACTTACTAGGAGAAAATATTTGTAATACATATATATGACAAAGAACTTGCATCTAAAATATATAAAAACTCATAAATAACACACACAAAAAGACAAACAACTAAATTTTAAAAATAGGCAAATGATATGGAAAAGAAGATACATAACGGCCAATAAGCAAATGAAAAGCTGCTCAATTTGTCATCATGCAAAATAAAATTAATAATAATTTTAAAAATTGTAATGTATGCAGTGTAACAAAAGCACTGCATACCCACTAGAATGCCTAAAATTAAAAAGACTCAGAAGTCCGAGTGTGAAAAAGATGTAGAATAGTTGAAACTCTTCGTCACTGTCCATTGGGATGAAAAATGGTACAAACACTTTTGAAAAAAGTTTGGTAGTTTCTTTTTTTTTTAAACATCTTTATTGACATAATTTACATACCATAAAATTCATACATTTAAAGTGTACAATTCAATGGTTTTGGTATATTCACATAGTTGTGCAATTATCACCATGATCTAAGTTTAGAAAATTTTCCTCAACTCCAAAAACCTCAAACCCATTAGCAGTCACTCTCCACCCTGCTCCCCAACCTCAGCCCTAAGTAACCACTAATCTATTTTCTGCCTCTATAGATTCGCCTATTCTGGACATTTCAAATAAATGGAATCATGTAATACGTGGTCTTTTGTGACTGCCTTCTTTCACTTCGCACATGTTTTCATGAGTCTTCATGCTGTAGCATTATCAGTAATTCATTCCTTTTTATGGCTGAATAATACTTCATTGTATGGCCATATCACATTTTGTTCATCCATTCAGTTGCTGATAAACATTTAGGTTGTTTCTAGTTTTGGGGTATCATGAATAACACCACTATGAACATTGTGCACAAGTCTCTGGGTGGACACATATTTTCATTTCTCTTGGGTAAATACCTAGGAGTGTCACAATGTGGATGAATCTCAGACACAAGAGCACATATTGTACGAATTTATGTGAAATTCTATAAAAGACAAATCTAACCTATAGTGACAGAAATCACGAGTGGTTGCCCAGGGCCCAGACTCAAGGATAAGACTGACTGCAAAAGAGAACTTTTTTGGGTGATGGAAATGTTCTTTACCTTGCCGTGGTAGTAGTGGTGGTGGAGGTTACATAAATATATCTTATTGTATGCTAATTACACCTCAATAAAGTTAAATAAAAAATAAGTCCAATAAATCATAACTAGTCAAAAAAAGATGCGTGGCTATGGCAGTAAGCTTACATCATTTTTGGTCTAACTATTCCATTTTTGGCTGGGGCAAGAACGATTCAGGCTGATATATCAGTAACTCTAACCTAGGAATTCTTAGTATTTCAACAATGCCAAGGATTCCCCTCATTGTCCTCCTCCTCTCCATTCCTTCACCCCTGGCAATCCTCCCTGACAAATTAAATGGACGCCAGGTAGCAATCAACAGTGTTTGGAATAATTTTTTGCCAGGCACCAGCCACATGAGGTTTTTTCAAAGTGGGTGTACTTTCCTGGACATTCTGACCAACTCAAACATTTGCCAAGCTCAGGAACTCACAGGGTCCTGCCTTTACCAAGGCCACCTAATGAAGGTTCTTCTTTTTGCCTCTTTGAAACTAAGGCAGGGATGAAAGATATGAGATAATCATGGCTCTCCTTGTGGAAACTCACTCCAAATAAGGGTCATCAGCCAACCATTTATGGATTTATAATGAGGCAATATTTCACTACAGTATAAGGAGAACAGGGTATCTGTCCCTCTTAAGTTTATAAAGGGTCAAGTGGGGCTGCAAGCAAACCAAATACATCAGCTTGGGGAGGTCTACAAGAGAGCACACAGGCAAAGGTGTAAGCAAGAAAGTAGTAGTCCTGATTCTTATATTCTGAAGTCTTCAAGGGCAGGTATGATTTTTGCATTTTTACAGCCCCTGGCTTTGCACACAGCACATACTTCTGTACTTTTACACAGAAAAGAAATAACCTGGGGAACTTGAAGCAAGGACACCCAGTCCTTGCCTTATTGCACTAACCAAGGACACTCAGAAGCAGAGAATTCTTAGACCAAATCAGGTTCAGAGAGCTTCCTTGGGAGGCAAGAATTGGTTCTTATTCAGGATACTTTCGTTCAAAGCGGCTGGAAAAAAGTAAACAAGCCAATAACACAGGAACTAGAACAAACAGCAATCTGATAACAAAATCAGACCCTATTGAGTGAGCATCCCTCCCTCCACTAGGTGCTTACAGTGACCTTCTATCCAAGATAAACTGAGCATCTCTCCAGGGCACAATCATCCAATATAATCTTTTCAGGAAACAAGGATCCAAAAGGTGGACACAAATCTCTTAGGCTAAAAAAGGATGATGACTTTTAAAAGGTAACTGTTTCCTCTATACAGCCACCCTACATATAATATGCAGAAGTATACTTCAGGACCAAACTCAATTTCAGAACCAATTTAGTTGGCCAGTTCTCCCAGTCCATCCATGTCTTTCAAGCCTACTACCAAAGGGCTCTCCACTGTTCTGAGATTTATTGATCTGACAGACAGGCTCTGCCCTTCAGGAAGGTGGACCAGATAATGAACCTCACAGTGGGTGATTAATGAGAGGCCATCAGTTGGCGAAAGGAGTGGTGACAGTGACTTTCTTTAATTTCCCTGGGCAGTTGCCCCACCTCCCTGACTTTATTTGGTTAAAGCCCTAGACACTCCTTGTGAAGCTTTTCTTGGCAGTAATTACAGACCCAACATGCCCAGGTCCTTACCTGGTACAAGCAAGGCACGCAATCACACTAATAGGCAGCTAAGGTAATGGGAGTGGGGGAAACATGACACACAAATATCGCACCAGGCCTTCTCCTTCCCTATGGCTTACTGCAGGTGGGACACTCTACCCAACTCAAACCAACAGGCAGATGTCTCTGTCCTCCCCACCTGAGGTTTCTTTCCTTGGAAACATATCACATCTCAGGGAGGGAGACAGAAAACACCGCCTCTGCTCCTAACTCATGGGCAATTCGACGGGGAGTCTCTGCCTCCCTGCCAGGCCTCATTTATCTATCCCTGCCGAAAAGGCAGAATTCTTTAAAAGAAATCCCATTTGTAAGCTATCCACAGTTTCCATTCTAGCTGGGTGGATCATTTTTAAGATCACAACTTCCTTTCAGCAGTACCACTGTGAAAGGTCAAAGTGCTGTTATGGTACTTAGCAAAAACATTTCCAATTAACACAGTTCATAACAGAGATAAAAGTTTGCATAGCAACACTTCTGACTCTGATGTTACCACAGTGACAAAACATGCTCTTCTGAGCATACCTCATAGAGTTTTGAGCTACTTCCTGGGGAAGAAGTTGCAGCGAAATAAAACAAAAGTTCCCAAAGATCTATTTCAAAGGAAGGAGGTAGCTAAAAAGCAAACCTAAGAGGGAAGTCCTATCTGTACCTTCTCATCTAATAACTGGGAAAAAGGATCCTTCTTGGGTTAAACCAAGAATGCAAGGGCTGTTGCCTCCTGTAACCTCTTGAAAAGCTGACACCTACTGGAATTCCTACAAGCTCCAACACTGTTCCTCCTAGGCAATGCCAATGAAGCTTCATTGGCAATGAGGCCTGACCAAGGAAGACCAGAAGTTTATATAATGGGCACTTCAAAATTCATACTTAATTGGAGAAAATACTGACAATGGCAGAGATGAATAATAAGCCGAGCTCTTCACCAGTGACCTCTGCATCCATCTAGCTTGGCTGTGGGACATTAATTTTGAGAGTCTTCATTTTGTTTTGTTTTTTAACAAAAATGGTACAGTCACGTGTTGCTTAACGATGGGGATACGTTCTGAGAATGGTGTCGTTAGGTGATTTTGTCATTATGAGAACATCATAGAGAATACTTACAGAAACATAGATGGTATAGCCTGCTACACACCTAGGCTTTTTGGTACTAATCTTATGAGATCACCATTGTATAAGTGATCCATCACTGATCGATACATCCTTATGTGGCACATGACCATACTACTTTAAAAACAATTTAAATTCAGTGTGCTACCTTTTAGATTTTGACCCAAACATATTATCTATTAAGAGAAACAAATAAAAACATTTTTTAAAAAGTTGCCATGTTCCTCTGGTGTTCATAAAAGCTTTATTTCTCATAGTGATACTGCTGACATGCTTGGACAGAACAGAGGCTCTTCCCTCATTAACAAAGTTACCATACTCTACCAGGAGCCTCTACTTAGGCGTTTCTGCCTAACTGGCAGGCAAATTCTCCAGGGCCCTGTTCACTACTTCCTTTCCTCAACTGAATGGGCCCTTCCCAAACCAGGACCCTTCCCCATCCCCCAGGAATGAGGCCTGTTATCTTCACTCTCCCTGCTTCTCCCTCTACTGTTCTGTCCCTGACTTGCCTCTTCCTTCAGAATATCTGAAAAGCTCAGGTTCTCCACATGCCCCGGCCTGATGAAATGGAAAAAGCTCAAACTTTAGAGTCAGACAAACCTCAGCTCACATTATGGCTTTACCACTAATAGCTATGTGACACTGGACAAATTACTTAGTTTCTTTAGCATCCTCATCTATAATTGAGGATAATTACACCTACCCCAAATAGCTGATGTAAGAATTAAGTAAATTAAGTAAAAGTGCCTAGCTCAAAATCTACTAGTTGTTCCTTTCCTTTTATCTACTTATGTCCTTTTTAAATCCAAGATACATTCTTCCCTATCTAGGGGAGATAAAATCCAAGATACTCTCTCCCCTATCTCTGGTAATACAGCTTACCTCCTGGTCCAAGTAAGAGAATGGCCATCCTAGCAGCACATATCAGCTGACTGTCTTATGTGGACCTCCTCAAGATGCCCTATATAACATAAAGTTGATTTTCAAGGTTAAGCAGCTTATAGGAAAATCCCTCTGCCTCTCCCTCTTTCCTGATTTAGTGAATTCAGTGAACAAACAACTCTTACCAAACTTTTTTTCTGTCGAACAGGTCAACCAAAATGCCAGAATCTAAACAAAGGCAACAAAGAAGGCAGGGTCAAACAGCCAAAGCTTGTGTCACATGCTTGCACTCAATAAGAGTTCCCACAGCAACAATCACTCAGGGCTACAGAGAGGCAGTGCAAAACTACAGGCTGTTGTAGAAAAACATGCTGCCGAGTACAGGAAACTGAGTTATGGCTATCATGGGAGTCTTAAATCTCAGCTCTCCAGCATATGTCTCCGCCAAGGCTGTCTTAAATGGTGGTTAAGGCCCTGTTCTAAGATGAGGAAACATCACGGGGGCTCTCAGAGTGAGCTGCTCAGAGGCCTCAATTGCCCTGTTGGAGATCCAAAGCTGCCCTGAGGAGAACTTTATGTAGGTGCTCCCACGGGGAAAGTGAACCACACTCGCCTCCCACTCAGAAAGCTCTGCCTCAAGCTTTACAGCTCCCCTCTCCAAGTGTTCCTCAACAATCAGTGGTGTGCTGGAGCTGGCTCATACGTACTTGTCCTGTGAGAGCCGACTGTTAAATTTCCAAGCACTGTGAGATCCACTTGGCTTCAATTACATTGGTAGCCATGGTAGGAGCATTCACACCCAACACTACAAATCAGCCCCCTTCCCACCACTCGCCCCATCTACCAGTTGTTAAACATTTACTAGCACACCAAGGGCCAACAACTCCAAAGCTGGCGTATTAGGCTCCATTTTCCTCATAAGCCTTGAAGTTCTTCAGATATTTCCCCAAGATCTTTCTGTGCTTCCACCTAGATGTTCTTAAGTGATAGGTGCCACCCAGGGCCCCTAACAATGTTTGCCCCACAGACTAGGGCTCTCCTCTTATTAGTATCTCACTCCTCTCTGAGAAAATAAAGCTAGGTTACATTAGGATTTCTAAACACCCAGCAGTCATTTGTAGTGGCTCTTATCTTAGGATTAGGAGAAAATCAAAAAAGTTTAGGAAGATTACTAATAAACAGAAATAAATACTTAGCTTCTAATATAACTTTCACTCACTCAGACGTGAAGCATTTTTTGTTTGTTTCCCTAATTTACTCTAACCCACTCCCATAAATGAATGATACCTTGCTTTGTCATAATATTTCTGAAGATATTTCTTGTAATATACAACATTATATAGGCCTCTTCTGAATCCAAAGTCCAAAGCCCTAGTGAGAGTGGAGGCTTAAAGAAATAATGGAGGTGAAATTCCATAAAATTCCTAATATAGAAAACTTAGAAATCTGGTTACACTGTCCTATGGTCTTGTGACATAATGGGGGGGGGGGGGGGGTGGTGCCAGCAGACCACCTTTCTGATCTTCCCAGAAAATTCCTAAATTTGTACGTAGAGAAATTTTTAGCAAGCTCCTGGGCCACTTGGTTGAAAGGAACACAGCTTCAAGACAGGTCTGGCCCACTCTTAAAAACAGAAGTAGAATGGTGGTTTCCGGGGGTGGAGTGGGGGGAGTTGTTCAACTTCCCTTGGATGGATGGAGTTTCAGTTTTGCAAGATGAAAAAGTTCTAGAGATCAGTTGCATAACAATGTGCATATATATATATATTTTATATACTTTTTACAAAAAAAAAAAAGGGATTGGTTTGCCCCTCAGGTCCCATCACATGCCTAGCATTGAGGCTGGGTCATACTAGGCCTTTGATGAACACTTGTGAGTTGAACCAAAGACAGTACAATTATGACAGGGGGAAAATCAGTGCATTAGGGATTATGGAAGCTGTGATAATTTAAATGACTGAAGTGTATTTCCAAGTCATCCAGCCTCTGGGTATCCTGTGACTCAAGGACATGACCTACAGACACTCTGAGACTCTTCTCCATTCTTTCTGTCCCTTTCAGGTTTTGCCCTTGAGTACATTTTACAATCTATACCTCTCTGTTTATCCAATCCCTATCCTTCCTCTTTCAAGGTCCAACTTAATTATTCTCTCCTCCATGTGACTTTTCCTGACCACTACAACCTGCAGAGATCTTTCTCTAACAGGAACTCACAGATCCCATTACTAGTACTGTTTGGCCATCAATAATAAGTTGCCTTAAGCCATCTCTTGCACTTATTCCATCCTTTGAGAAGAAAGGCCCTTTATCATACTTCTGTATCCCTCAAATGCCTAGTATAATCTGTATCTGCCTAGCACAGAGAAGGCACTGAATGCTAAAAAAATGATAGCTGATAAAGGCAGAAGAAAGCCAGAGGGAGCCAGTCATTTACTTGCTTTCCGATGGGATATTTCAAAGGCACAAAATTGGTCATGAATGTGACTGAGAGCTTAGGGAATCAGGTGCTCAGAGAAAGTTTTGCCTTAAATCCTAAAGTGCCCCATGTACTCTAGATATTCAGGGCTCTAGAGAATCTTCTGTAAAGGTCTGCTATGAAGCCCTCTTGCCTATAAGGAATTTAGAGCTGATATAAATCAATATTTCATAGCATTTGTAAACCAAAACAAATAGTGAATAGCCTAAAAGGAGCTCAAGATCCTCAATGGGCATTTTTAAAGGTCTCATGGTTTTGGGGGCAAGGAAAGTATGAGGTACTATTCAAGGCAGCTAAGCCAGTGATTCTTAAAAAAAAAACTGGGGGGGAGGGTGTCAAAGATTGGTTAAGAATTTTAAGAAAGATGGACTCTGCTCAGGGAAAAAAAGGACATATACATAATTTTACACACAATTTCAGATTGTGCAATAATTCTCTAAAGCCTATTCTTGAACCTTAGGTCAAGAACCTGTGAGCCAGTATTATTCCAAGAAATTTCATGACAGACCTCTTAAGTGTAGACCCATTTCTAATATGATGTAGTCAATAATAATAGAAAATCCGTTTCCTAATTTGAAAAGCAGCATATAAGAGTTTAGGGTAGGCTAGGATAAGGAGGAGAACCCCATGAAGAACTCTTCTATTTCAACATAATTCTCTGAAGGTAGCAGTGCATCATCAAGACAGGATGTCCTCAAAGCCCCCAAACCCAAGATTAGCCCGGGGTCAAGAGTCTCTTTTCAATACCTCCATCCACATTTATCTAGTACAGACAAAAGGATCCCTGGATTTACCTATGAAACACAGGTTGTGTAACTCAGCTATCCTCCTGGGAGAATGAAAATCAGAGTGCAGGCCACTGGTGGTGGGAGGGCAGCATATCAAATCAGTCTACCAGCGAGGGATGGATGCTTACCAAAAAGCCATACTAGGGAGAGAAAAAAGCTAAATCTCAGCTGAGGGTGGGCAAGGGGCCTAAGGGATAATTTTTTTTTTTTGAGGAAGATTAGCCCTGAGCTAACTACTGCCAATCCTCCTCTTTTTGCTGAGGAAGACTGGCTCTGTGCTAACAACCATGCCCATCTTCCTCTACTTTATAGCTGGGACACCTACCACAGCATGGCTTTTGCCAAGCAGTGCCATGTCCGCATCTGGGGTCTGAACCAGCGAACCTCGGGCCGTTGAGAAGCGGAACATGCAAACTTAACCGCTGCACCACGGGGCTGGCCCCAGGGATAATTTTTATAGGATGTACTAGAGACAAGCCAAATGCAGTCGGGGATAAACTGGGTGTAGCTGCACAGTTCTTGGAAAAGCAAGTTGTATCTTCTCCATAATTTTTATTCATAAAGATATGTGAAATACAACAAGAGGTCAAATTGCCCTTATCAAACTCCATCTACAGAAACTAACTCAAAATGCATCATAGACCTAAACATAAGTGCTAAAACTACAAAACTCTTAGAAGAAAACATAGAAGAAAAACTTCTCATAAGTAAATGAAAGCAATAGGACTTGTGGGAGTATATGAGGAAGCCATTTGTTCTAAAACTAATTCGACCTGACCTTGTTTTTCCAAAAGGGACTGACGTGGCCTGTTGAGCATGCATTGTACATCTGCTTTAAACATTTACTGTGTCCCAAAGACAAGAATGATGCGCTTAAAGACAGGGATGTGGCTTCCCCCCATATCAGCATTTCTTTAAGGATAAGCATCTCTTCCTGGAAACTAAAGATTAATTACCAACCTGCTGTGCTCACCTTGTGACTACTGACCTGCTGACCACCAACCTGCTGTGCCAGCTAAGCACCTCACGACAGTAGTAAAAGAGATATTCCTGTTACAGGTGATGTATGCTCTTCGTTCCAAGATGGTATATAACCACTCTGTACATCCCACTTCTTTGGTGCCCTTCCTTCCTTGGCGAAGGAAGGCCTTGGGCTCTAGTTCTCAGATCTGGCTCATAATAAACTCACCCCAATTTTGATTTATAGATTGATTATGGATTATCTGTGTCGACACTTCATAACATTGAATTTGGCAATGACTTCTTAGATATGACATCAAAAATACAGGCAACAAAAGAATAAATAGACAAGTAGGGTCTTCATCAAAATTAAAAACTTTTGTGCATCAAGGGACACTATCAACCCACAGAATAAGAGAAAATATTTGCAAATCACATATCTGATAAGGAATTAATATACAGAATATAAAAAGAACTCCTAAAATTCAATGACAAAAAACTAAACAACCCAATTAAAAAATGGGCAAAGGGCTTCAATAGACCTTTCTCCAAAAAAGGTAGACCAAATAGCCAATAAGCACATGAAAAGATGCTCAACATCAATTATCATTAGGAAATGCAAATCAAAACCACAATGAGATACCACTTCATCCATTAGGATGGCTATTATCGAAAAAACGCAGAGAGGAGCCGGCCCTGTGGCCAAGTGCTTAAGTTCACATGCTCTGCTTCAGCAGCCCAGGGTTTCAACGGTTCGGATCCAGGGCGTGGACATGGCACCGCTCATCAGGTCATGCAGAGGTGGCGCCCCACATGCTACAACTAGAAGGACCCACAACTAAAATAACTAAAATACACAACTATGCACCGGGGGGCTTTGGGGAGAAAAATGAAAAGTAAAATCTTAAAAACAAAGAAAAGCAGAGAAAAACAAGTGTTGGCAAGGAGATGAAGTAACTGGAATGTAAAATGGTGCAGCCACTGTGGAAAACAGTACAGTACCTTCTCAAAAAATTAAACATAGAATTACCACCTGATCCAGCAATTCCACTTCTGGATATATACACCAAAGAACTGAAAGCAGGGACTCAAACAGTTATTTATAGACCAGTGTACACTGCAGCTTTCTTCACAAAAGCCAAATGGCAGAAACAACCCAAATGTCCATGATGGATGAATGGATAAAAAAATGTAGTATGTACATACAATGGAATATTATTCAGCCTTTAAAAGGAATGAAATTCTGATTCATGATACAACATGGATAAATCCTGAAGACATTATGCTAAGTAAAATAAACCAGACAGAAAAAGACAAATATTGAATGATTCTACCTACATGAGGTACCTAGAATAGTCAAATACATAGAGACATGAAGCAGAACAGTGGTTACTATGGCCTGGAAGAAGAGGAGGGGGGAGTTACTGTTTAATAGATAGATATAGGGTTTCAACAGGGAATGATGAAAAAGTTCTGGAGATGGATAATGGTGAGGGTTGCATAATGTTAACGTACTTGTGAACGCCACTGAACTGCAAACTTCAAAATGGCTAAAACGGTAAATTTTATGCATATTTTACCACACACAAAAAAAGGATTCAAAGTAAACAAGCTTCACAATCAACCTCAGACAAATATGACACCTGCATATACAATATAAAAATGTCTGTAGTTTATTATACTAGAAAACGTACCACCATTCAGTCATGCTGAGGGTGTTAACTGATTAAAAAGCTTTGCCCTCCATGAAGCCAGTGAGAAATAACAGAAAATTGTCATCTATCTTCTGGACATCTGAAAAGAAACCCCAGTGTGAGAGGGTGGACTTTATTTAATAAGCAATAATGGATTTATAAGCATCACCTTGAAAAGCCTCAAACAGAGGCTGGACTATGTCTGGGCACTGTCAGAACTCAAAAATTTACAAATATTTTGCTAGAAGAAAATGGTAGGCTGGGCAGGCAGATCTAGCAAAGAGCCCTCTCTTGTCTTCTGTCTTACTAAGTGCTATAAATTCCAGTTAACGCCTATCCATGATCTTTAGGTTTCATTTTAAGGAGTATCTCAAATCTACTTGGAGATTAAGTTCCTGATTTTTTCTTTCTACTTAGTTTGCTGCTAACAACTGCAAGGCCCTACTGCATCCCAAAGCCAGCTCTTTGGGAAGCTGTGACTATACTTAACTTTAAGTGATATTAGCACTAATGTTCATAAGTGAAGGGAGAAAAGTGCTCCAACACATACTGGAGATCGACAAGGCAGACAGGGGCCGGCCCAGTGGCACAGCAGTTAAATTCCACTTTGGTGGCCAGGGGTTCGCCGGTTCGGATCCTGGGTGCGGACATGGCACTGCTTGGCAAGCCATGTTGTGGTAGGCATCCCACATATAAAGTAGAGGAAGATGAACACGGATGTTAGCTCAGGGCCAGTCTTCCTCAGCAAAAAGAGGAAGCTTGGCAGCAGATGTTAGCTCAGGGCTAATCTTCTTCAAAAAAATAAAATAAAATAAAATAAACAAGGCAGACAAATACTTCTAATCTGATAGTGCTCATAATAAAACCAAGTGCACCCTAATGCTGTCATTTAGTGCCCTTCAAAGTCAGTTAGGGAAGAGAAGCAACAACTATTTTGAATGCAGTTTTGAAAAGGGTCCCAGAATAGTATCACCCTTCCCCCACTCCTCACATGAAAAGGATTGTTAAGAGAGGTAATGAGTGCACAAAAACTCTGTGAGAGCAAGGATCACACTTAGATTATTCACCACTGATTTCCACTACCCAGCACCATACCTTGTATACAGCAGGCATGTAATTATTTATTGACTAAGTAAATGAATCTTTGAGAGCTGCTATCCCTTCCCCATTCTCAAATAGGGCTGTGTACTCTCCCTCTCCATAGAAATAGCCTCATCTCTGGCGTGTGGACTCTTTTTGAGAAGCACTTTCATCACTTCATTTAACTTTGAAAGAAGTTGGAGGAGGGTTAGGACACGTGCTTGCTAATCATCCTTTTCCAGATTGCCTCATGCGCCAGAATGGATTTTTATTATTGGTCTGTGGCTGCTACTGCTGTAGAAAGATTTCAGCCTGACCTTCCCAAGCTGCTGGGGGATGAATACTGCACGTGGCTGACAGGAAAAATGTGTCTTCCTTTTTTTTTGCTTTTAGACTAACCAGAGCTCACTGTGGTAGGAAAGTCACCCTTTCTCTCACTGTACAAAACTTAAGATGTTGAAGTCTTTCGCATAAAAACGGTATATAGTACAACTGATCTGAACTGGTCGAACAGGAAAAGGATAGCATCTCAAAGCACCTTAAGGAGAACAATGGCATGAAAGAACAGGACTCAGGACTGCTCCACAGGCAGAAGAGGGAAAACGAAAATGAAAGCCATTTACAAAAGTAGTTTAAACCTGATGCCGGATTCTCACAGCTGCCTCACAAAAGAGAATAAATATGTCAAAGGGAAGAACTGATAGACTAATAGAGTCCTGTTATCTAGCTGAGGAAAGAGCCACTGGTGGGAATACTGAGAAGCTTGTCTGTTAGGAAAAAGGCTTGCTTGGTACCTCACTAGCTGAGCTGAATAGTTTTTAGGAACACTGGAATACATGCTTGCACCATAGCTGGCTGGCTGGCCCTGCCAGCACGAGGCTCAGAGAAGGGTTACACTGAAGCATTGGCACAAAAGGGAGAGCAGAGCATATATGTGTTTTCAACTGGCTTGGAGTCAACACCTGGACTCTCATCTCACATATACCTTGGCCCTCTAACTTAGGAGTAGGGTGGGAAGGAAGGGAGATTGTGTTGATGTCTTATTTTGCACTTTTAAAAACTGGACTCAAGGGTCTCATTCAAAAGCATCAAGTTCAATCCCATGCCACCCTAAAGCCTCATCTGTACTTCATATAGTGCAGAGCCGAGGGCAGGCACTTTGGGAGAAGGAGAAATAAGGCCAGACTCAAGGAAAACAAACACACAAGGCTTTCTGCATCTCCAACTCAGTCCATAGCACAGAAAAACCTGCTCAGAAATAACTGCTAGGAAAATAGAACTCAATTACTAAGGAAGATCTGTCCCAATGAAGGCTCATATTTTAATGAGCCTGATAACATCAAATTATGCTGAACTCAGGATTTTTCTAACTGGCAGTTTCATCCATTTCTAAGTTCTCGTTTCTTATTTTCAAAAAATCAAAATGAGAAGCCAGCCCCAGGACATAGTGGTTAAGTTCAGCATACTCTGCTTCAGCAGCCTGGGTTCGTGGGTTTGGATCCCGAGCATGGACTTATACCACTTGTCAGCCATGCTGTGGCAGTGACCCACACGTAAAGTGGAAGAAGATTTGCACAGATGTTAACTCAGGGTTAATCTTCCTCAAGCAAATAAAAGGAAGATTGGCAACAGATGTTAGCTCAGGACTAATCTTCCTCAGCAAAAAAATAAATAAATAAATAAAATAAAAATAAAAATGACTCTGCTTAAAATTAAAAAAGAAATGCCTTATCACCCACTCTAAGACAATAATTCACCAAAATTTCACCTACATATCTTCTAAATAATTAAATGAATCCCTCATATGGCACAAAACTAGAAGCCATTACTCTAAAGTACTATCAGCAAATTCTTTACTAATTCCTTTTAGCAGCCTGGCTCTTGCCACTCCCACTAGAAACTCAGTCACAGAATCCCTCTGCCATCAGAAAGAGGGTAACTGCTTGATCCCAGCCACAAACTAAGGTCACTCTGGAGAGAGTAGTGGCTTACCTGCTCCTCTGACAGTTGGGATATGTGATTCACAGCAGCGTAGGATTCAATTTTGGGGTTAAAATGGTTGATGATGGCTCTGAAACAAAGAATTAACATTAATATAGCACCGGATGGAAGAAGAGGATAAATGAGTTAAAAGCAAGCATCAAGTACCCTCTGGTTTAGAGTATGAGAGCATAGGAGTGATTGTCAGAGTAACTGTCCTCTTATTGAACGTGGGGCCATATGGGGGTGAACAGGTAACTCTGAAATGGGAAGGGTTTAATAACTTATTAGAGAAGAGAATCAAGCATCTCTGTTCTGCAAAGGAACTAGAAGAAAACCTCACAAGCAAACAAAAAACAAAACGAAGCATCCTTCAGACAAGAAACAGGACCCAGGGGGCTGTCCACTAGGGGGCCCTGGTGTTTCAATCAGAAAGAAAGTCGTTTTCTTTGCTCTGACTTGGGAGAACAGGGCACTCAGTAAAGCTGGGCCAACATGTAGGCTAAACAGTCTCTGAAGAAGCTCAGCTTTATCAAAGCCTAGAACCGATCTTCCTGCTTGCTGCTTAATATTTCTAACCAAAATTTTATTTCCAGCCATTCAAACAAAAATCTGAGAGTCATTTTCAAACACTCCCTCTCCATCACTCTCTCACATCCAATGTCACAAGTCTTATCAAATCTACCTCTTACAAATCTCTGACATCTGAAATAAATAAACTTTCCTGAAACCAATGCCTTGATATGAGTCCTTGTCATTTCTTGTCTGGTGCAGCAAAAAAAGCACGTTTTAGATCAGAGTTTAATATGAATCCATATTGATATAAAAATGATTAAATAAATGGGGAGAAGAGACAAATCTTTTTAACAGAACAATTTCAAATAATATGTGAAGATACTCTCCACTTTAGGAAGTGGAATTTAATTCCCATTCCCACTGAGGGTGGGCTACACTTAGTGACTTATTTCCAAAGAATAGAGTACCAAAAGGGAAAACTAGTAACTTCACGGTAAAGAATCCTGGTGAACACTACCTTAACTAAGCGATGGAGGTGAACATCACTAGTGATGTCACGTGGATGTCATGAAATCCCTGGTATGATCTGATGAGAGGGGTACTTCACCTCTGCTGTATGCTTTCAAAAACCCATAACCTCAGTCTAATCATGAGAAAAATATCAGACAAACCCATATTGGGGGATATTCTACAGAATACCTGGCCAGTACTCCTTAAGACTATCAAGGTCATGAAAAATAAGACTTGAGAAATTGTCACAGACCAGAGGACATTGGGAAGACATGAAAGCTAAACGCAATGTGATACTCCAAATTGAATCCTGGAACAGAAAGAGGACACTATTGGATAAACTGGTGAAATCCAAATAAAATGGGGAGTTTAGTTAATAGTAATGTATCAATGCCAGTTTCTTAGTATTGATAAATGTACCATGGTAATGAAAGATGGGGGAAACTAGGTTGAGGGGCATATATGGGAACTCTGTATATTATCTTTGCACTTTTTCTGCAATTCTAAAATCACTGCAAAATAAAAAGTTTATTAAAACACGAGCGTATCTCTGCACAACAGAAATCACTATTTTCTTTTAAAATAACTTATTGATAGTAAAGAATTATAGAACCATTTAATCTAATACAGGTAATAAAAGTATAAGCCAGAAACAAAAAAAAATCATGGTTTAAAATCCTAGTTTGACCATTTGTTATTATGAATGATTTTGGGGAAGCTGTATGCCTCACCAAAGGAAAAAAGTGGGAATAACAATACCTACCTTACCACTTAGCACAACACCTAAGAATGGTACATTGTAGACATACAATAAATGTTTGTTGAAAGAGTGACTAAATCTTAGAGAATTCTTGCAACATTTATATAATAAAGCAATGTCAAACATCTACCATAATGCCTGGCACACAGCTGGTGCTCAATAAATATTCAGTGAATGAATAAATCAAATAGGATAGAAATGGGTCATGGGCAAGAGGTTCTTGTAACTTACTTTTTCCCAAAACTACCAAGAAGGGTAGAGATGTTAAATAAAGGTTGTGGCTTGGTCTGAAATCAAAGTGGGAAAGAGTTTGCGACCAGGTGGGGGTCAAACATTTTTCTCATTCAGAAGGCAAAGTTTGAGGATACTGGCAGGGATGACAACAGTCCAGGAGCAGAAAGGAAACCAGGAGCCTAAACTCAATGAGAACATAAGGGGAACAGGTTTAGAGAGGAATTGAGAACCCCACCAAACCTAGCAGCAGTATCAACTTAAAGTTAACCCAATATAGAGTCTGAGTCATGAGGTCTAGCACTGTACAGTAGCCAAATCAATCTACTATTAGACCTGAGTTGTTTTAAGAATCTGCACTCTATAAATACATCCATTTCATGCTCCCCCCTCCGACATTTTCCTTAAATTTCTTAGTAATATTTTTTTTGAAAAAGTGTTTGAAAAAATCGTGACTTAACTGAACTAGGCTTGTTTTTTGTTTTTGTTTTGCCTAGATTTAAAGAACCAAGAACCCCAAAGCACCCTAGTGTTTGTCTGGGTAGGAGGGTAATAGCCACTGGGGCCCAGCTGCTCAGAGAAGCTGGTGAGGTTTGGACAATGAAATAATCTCTGGGAATGGAATAGGTGGGGATGCTGTGCTTGTATTATTCCCTTTCTACCAGGGGAATTCGCTCACCAGGAAAGAAAGCAAAGAAGCAAGAAGAGAGAGAAAGGAGAAAGGGAAAGACGGAAGAAATAAAGACAGGGGAGGAAGGAAGGAAGGAGGCTCAGAGGGAGGAAAGGAGAAAAGGAGTGGAGAGAAAGGAAAAACCTGGAAAGTATTATCTTTAAAAAAAATCACACATTTCCTTCCCTTCTCACAATTATGTCATTATCAGAAGATAAATGAGCAAAACATGAGTTCGATAAATGAACAAAACATGTGTTCAATTCCCTCCCCATCCATTCCATCCAAACCCTCACGCTGCAAAAAAGGGCAGGTTCAGAGAAGGTGAATACTGCAAGCAGGACACCAGTTCCTTGCCCTTGACCAGCCTGATAGAAAATGAAGCTCAGTAAGAAAAGAAGGGAACTGAAGAGACCAGGGAAAGGAGTCTTGCATGAGCAGGAGGCTAGGGCAGGCTACATAAGGGCATCTCCACTAGGTTCGCATTGGATTGTTAGGAACTGAATCTGTTCCCCGCCCCACTCCGCATCCATGTTGAAGCCCTAACCCTCAATGTGATTGTATTTGGAGAGAGGGCCTTTATGGAAGTAATTAAGGTTAAATGTTAGGCCATAAAGGTGAGGCACCAATCCAATAGGACTAGTGTCCTTATAAGAAGAAACAACAGAGAGCTCACTTGATCTCTCTCTCTCTCTCTCTCTCCACCTTGTGAGGACACAGCCAGAAGACAGCTGTCTGCAAGCTAGGAGGAAAGTCCTCACCAAAACTGACCCTGCTGGACCTTAATCTGGGACTTCTAGCCTCTAGAACTGTGAGAAAATAAATTTCTGTTTTTTAAGCCACCTAGTCTATAGTATCTTGTTATGGCAGCCAAGAAGACTAATACAGGGACGTTCTACTCTCCCCAGGGATCCTGTCACTTGGGCAAAGCAGACCCCAGGCCAGAGTCAGTCTTTAGTAAAGTAGTAGAGCAGGGAAAGTCTGCTTCTCACTCTGCAGATGACTTCTTCTCTTTGTACCCTTTATATTGTGGGTTACTGTTTCCTTCTCTTCTAGAAGAGAATCATTCTGAGGTTCCTATGCTACAAAGTTCCAATCACAAATGCCACCAACGTAGCCACATGGGTTACCAGCTTCTCAGGCAGAGGGGACCTCACCCTTTAGCCTTTACTAAGTGAGAAACACAGACTTTAGTAAAGAAAGATCTTGCAGGGGCTTTTGAGCGGCCTGTGACATAAGAACACACACACACACACACACACACACACACACACACACACACACCCACACACCAGTGTCTGAAAGGAGAACAGGGTGGGCAGCACTATACATGGCAAAGAGAGATGTGCGTTTTCCCTTTTATTTGCATCTTGAGATTGGTTTTCATTTAGTCTAAGCTCTTCAGGGGTATTTAAATGAAACTTACTCTATGCCAGCCAAAAGCTTTCAGAATGAAGAGTATTTTGGAAAAGGGCACTTGAAAGGGAGGGGAGGAGTAGAAAGAAAAGGAAGGTTTGAGGGGGCAATGAATGAGCCAACACGGTTATTATGAAAAGATTGTGGCTTCCCTTTGACAAAGGCAGCAAGACAATTAAATGGGAAGAGTCTTTTCAAGAAATGGTGCTGAGACAACTGGGTATCTACATGCAAAAGAATGAGGTTGGACCTGTACCTCACACCATACACAAAAAATAACCTCAAAATGGATCACAGATTTAAATGTAAGATCTAAGAACTATAAATCTTTTGGTAATCAAAAAGACAGTAACAAGTGTTTGGCAAGTACATGGAGAAATCAGAACTTTCATACATTCCTGGTGGGATTGTAAAATGGTACAGGTACTTTGGAAAGTGGTTTCACAGTTTCTCAAATGTTACCACATACAGAGTTACCATATGACACAGAAATGTTACTCCTAGGTATATACCCAAAAGAATGAAAAATTATGGCCACACAAAAACTCATGCACGAACATTCATAGCAGCATTATTCACAACAGCAAAAAAGTAGAAACAACCCAAATGTCCATCAACTGAAGAATGGATAAACAAATGTGGTATAGCTATAACAGAATATTATTCACCCATAAAAAAGAATGAAGTACTGATAAATGCTACAACATGGATGAAACTTGAAAATAGTATGTTAAGTGAAAGAAGTCAGACACAAAAGGCCACATATTGTATGGTTCCATTTATAAGAAAGGCCCAGAACAGGCAAATCTACAGAGATGGAAAGTAGATTAGTGGTTGCTTGGGGCTGAGGGGAAAGTTAGAGGAGGAATGGGGATTGGCCACTAAAGGGTATGGAGTACATTTTGGCAGGGACAAAATATTCTAAAATTAGGGGCCAGCCCGGTGGTGCAGTAGTTAAGTTCCTATGTTCCGCTTTGGCAGCCCGGGG